ACTATGGATTTTCAGACTTGAGTATCTAGCAGACATTTTCTTGAAAAGAAATAAAGGAAACCTGTCGCTTCAAGGACAATAATTTACAACATCTGTTGCCAGTGAGAAAATCCAAGCTTTCAAGCCCCAGATCCGTCACTTATCAGCAAGTTATTTATTTACTTATTTTTAAAGGTTTTTTTTTAAAAAAGACTTTATTTATTTGACAGAGGGAGAGACATCGAGAGAGAGAACACAATGGTGGGGGGTGGGAGAGGGAGAAGCAGGTTTCCCGCCGAGCAGGGAGCCCAATGTGGGGCTCATCCCAGGACCCTGAGATCATGACCTGAGCCCAAGGCAGATGCTTAATGACTGAGCCACCCAGGTGCCACCTAGAAAATTATTTAACTCTCTAACATCTTACCTGAAAAGTCAGGCTGGGGATGGTACCTTCCCCATAGGGTGGAATCAAGCATTAAATAAGATAACATTATACAGTGTCTAGTGTGTGTCCGGTGCTCAGTGGATGTTGGCTTCTAACATCGCTACCTCAAATTAAAACAAACAGCTTTGCCTTTTGTTTTTTATTTAACCAAATATGTGCATCGATGTATGAAAAATTTTAATCTGGGCCCCAAGTTAATATTCCCTAAATATTAGGTTAATTCATAGTTCTTTGACAAAAGAGCAACAATGAAATGACATTAGGGCTATAGTGAAATAACGTCAGGCATTAAAATATTGAGTTTTAGGGGCGCCTGGGTGGTTCAGTCAGTTAAATGTCTGCCTTGGGCTCAGGTCATGATCCTGGGGGCCTGGTGTTGAGCCACAAATCAGGCTCCCTGTTCAGCAGGAAGTCTGCTTCTCCCTCTCCTCTGCTGCTTCCCCTGCTTGTGCTCTCTCTCTTCCTCTCTCAAATAAATAAAATCTTTAAAAAAAATATTGAGTTTTTAAGTAAGAATTCTTATTTCTACAGTTTTCCCTAAGTAAATAAATAGGACTAGTTTACACTGGGTTAAAAATACACAGAATAACACAAAATATTTTATAACACAAAATGATTATAAAAAATATATAATCCCAAAGTTTACCACTTAGAAGTCGTTTATCAGTACTCCTGCTAAGGTACACAAAGCCATCTGTGGCCCTGACATCCTGAATGCTATAGGCCCAGAATGATGTCTTGACCACAACGCCATTAGTATCACACCTCACCTGCAAGGTCAGATGATTTTTTAAATTGAAGCCAAGCTTTGGAAAGGAATTAATGGAAATTCAAGTTATGTCACACTTTGGGCACAGGCAGGCTACAAAAACCACAGAAGAGAAAAAGAAGCCAAAATAGATTGGATAAGAGCAAGATAATGATCAAGAGATTAAAAAAATAGAGAGAGAGAGAGAGAAAGGAAAGAAATGTACCAGAAGAGGTTGTGAAAACTGTCGGAGCCTGTTAGTGGGACATAATGAGGTCCTTTAAAGGACATTTTTACACTATCCAAATACTTTTCCATTTTCAGCCATGACTGAGCCCCAGTCTTGTACAGCAGTACAGTTCTTACATCTTGTGTGTGAACTATTTTGATAGTCCAGAGAACCTTTTTCAATCCTTTTGATCACTGGCCTGATCCCATGAGATCTCACACCTGTCCTGTGGAAAGTATTTCTCTAGAAAGAGTGACAGAGCTGCCTTCTTCATGAACAAAGAGGTAATATTCACACCACTTTCAAAGGGCTAACTAGATCAGTCTTTGCCTCCTTTCCTTTTGGCCCAGACAGTACACCTTCCCTGAACAAGTTTTTCACTCAGACGGTGGTCAGTGCTATTAACCGTGACTCAAACTACTTTGGAAATGAGCAAGAAATGCACCAGCTTTGGGGAGAATAGTAAGCTGGTGTTGCTGTTCTCAGGGAGAGGGGAGCAGCTACAATGGAGTCAGGAGTGTCTAATTAGGCTCATAATTAACCTGAGAACTGCCCTGCCAGCAACGGCTACTAGCAGCATCAACCTGTCAGTTCCAGTCCAAGAATTCCAATTGCTACTTTGGTTGTTATGGAAACTGACCACACTGCCTCCTAAAGAATTCATCGTGCCAACAAATACTTGTTTCCTAAGACATTATGGGGTATCTAAATGAGCAATGGAAGAGCACACAGGCAGAAGGCTGGCCACTAGAGAAGACGTCACAGGGAGCTAGAACCTAAACCTGACCTTGGGGTATCGTCAGCGAGGGGAGGAGACATTTCAAGCGACGGGACTGGCAAAAGCGAGGGAAATTCAAGAGATAAAGATAAGGCAGGTGTGGTTGGAGCCACAGATTCATGGGGGTTGGAGTGGGAAATGGGAAGGCACCTAGAGGCCGATGGGGAGAAGGCTTTGAAGGTCTCTAAAGCAGGGGGACAGTGCTTTAGGAATATTGATTTTTATCTTCAGACTAACAGCGAGGATGGCAACCTAGTTTCTGGCTAATACTAAAATGCCATGTGTCTTGGTAGATGATGTCCAGACAGTAGTTTGAAATGTTAAAAGTTCAACTATCTTCTCATATAGGCAACACCACACCTGTTGCACTGAAATCGATGGACTCTTGTATATTAGGGCTCATCAAAACTGCTATGGGTGTGTCTATGACATCCCGAGTATTTTTACGAGCATCCAATTGACCTGCAATAAAGCCCCCAAATACACGCTGCCATCTGTCAAGGCAGTATATAGCACTAAGGCCTTAATTTTCAAGTAGAGTCCAACAAATACAACAACAATCATTTTTCCTCAGTGGGTTTGTACCTTTTCCTGCCCAAACAGTAGGCGGAAACCTTTACAAGAATAATAACTGGCCAGTAAGTTAAAATACAGGAGAGTTTGGTTAATATAAGAAAAACCTTTATTCAGAACAACAGTTCTTGGAGTGTAGTCTGTGGACCCCTGGGGGGTCTCAAGCGGTGTCTGATGTCAAAGATTTTATATTGTGCTCTTTGACTCTGTGAAGGGCACAGGTCTTAGTAACAGGTGAGCCAAGGACTTTAGTTACATGCGGACAGATAGAAGTGATGCTTGAAAATACATTTCAGATTTACCCAGTTTAGCACTCACGATTAAATTCTGAAATGATATTATTGCTAGAGAAAATAATAACCACAAAATATGCTGTACTATTTTTAGAAGCTTTGTTTTGGACCACATAATTAAAAACACAGATCTCGATATGATAATAAAAGCTCATTCCTTAGATTCTGAACGTCAGGTTTAAAGAGTGTCTCCTTTTCCTAATTTGGCCCCTGAGATAAAAGCTGAACAGAATGTGTAAGTCATTGTGTGTGGCCTTGATGCCAAGAAGAATGATTAAATTTTATGTGGAAAGGGGAATTTTCTTTGCTGTTTCTCCTCAGTTAAGGAGTAGAAATGATGTACTTTTACTTTCTGAAAAGAATATAAAAAGTGTGGCAAGAGTTCCTCCAGTTTCCATGGGTAAGGTCAATGAGAGGCAAGCAGGTCAGGGGATAGTACCCAGGTTGGGCTCCAGAACTCTCACTGCTCAAGACATGCCATTCTCTTTGGATGGAATTCTTCCTCCTCTCACCTCTGTGAATCCCCCCGTTGCTCCATCTCCTCCTTTAGGTTCCTGCCTAAACATCACCTCTGTGGGGAAACATTTGCCTGATCACTCTGATTACCCACATCTACCCCAGATACTCAACCAAAGTTGTTCTACTTCAGCTCTTTGTTTCCTTCCTATGTGGTAATAATTTCATGAGTTCTCTTTTCCATCTAGAAAGGAAAATCTGTGATTCCTGCTCATTGCCCAGCGCAGGTCCAATACTCAGAAAGTATGGGGTGGGTGACTCAATGTAGGAGACAGTCTAGGGAAACGACCCAACAACTGAGTGATGGAGTGGGGAGAGGTCTGGAATGGGGGGCTACAGCCCTGGTCTCCCTTCTGTCACCAGTTGTGGAAATTGACCTTGATCAAACCTCTTAAGATCTCTGGGACTCAGTTTCTTCATCTAACAAGGAGGGAAATTTAGTGAGAGATTTCCAAGGCAACATCCCAACTTCAGAGTGCAAGATTCTAAGTTTATCCAATTTTATTTCTTGGGTGCTGATAACCATTCTTTTTCCCACTCACTGAGGAGGTGTGGACCTTTTCATTATTTCTGAATATGAATAGACATTTTTTGTAAAGTGCAAAGGTAGGTGTATTAACTTTTCTACAACTTGAATCATTAGAGGGAAAAGTACCAAGTTTTGGGAGGTGCTCTGACAATAGTTTGTGCTTTTCTGTGTAATTATAACTGTTGCTCAAATAGCCCCATTGATTTCCATGGGGAAAAATGGACATCCAGCTCTCACACTCATTAGCTATGTGACCTCGGACCAGCTCCTTTACCTTCTTGAGTCTCAGTTTCCTTACCTGTGTTAACAGATATGTCATAAAGATAAACCACCAACCTATAGGACTGCAGAAAGATTAAATGAGGTAAACTGGAACACAGTAGGCGCTTAGAAAAAGCAGGTGAACCCCAGGTGAATTTTGTCCCACCATTTAACTTACCAGCGGCTTCCATTGTACGAGGCAAAAGATAAGTGAGATTGTTTTTACCATTAGCTAAAAGGAATGCAGGGTATGGTTACTGAAATATGTTTGAATGTGCGATTGCTGATATTTTTAGCAGTGAGGTTTGGGGAGCATTGGCTCATTGTTCAAATAGAAAAGGTGTGTGTTATATTTTGATGTAGGACATCTTCATACCCATGGGATTATAATGTATTTTATTATTGTAGGGCTAAACTCAGGAGTCTGACATTCCTTCAAGTCCTACTTTGTCTACTCTATAAAGATACAAAGCCAAAAACAATATAAAACTGCATAAACGAAAGCAACAACCCAGAAGCCTCAGAGGTATTATCCTAACCAAAAAAGGAGCAAGACTTCAAAGCACAGTGAGAAAAGAACAGTCTTTTTTCTCTACCAAGTTGTGTATTAGCAGCAGTTGCATTAGAAAACTTGAGGGCGGTTACTCACCAATCATGAAAATAATTTTACGCTTTCTCAAATCTTCCATGAAACCTTTAAAGTAAGAATAATTTAAGTTATTGGCAAGAAAAACTGTTTTGAAACCCTGGTATTACTCATGTTGTGTAAAAACCAAACTCTTATAGATTTATTTGGTAAGAAGCCCCAGTTGAGTAAATGTGTTAATAGGTCATAGTTAATAGGCACCAGTGACCATTTCAGCCTTATTCCCAGACCCAGGTAACCTATTTCATTTTAATGTAAACTATCAATTTTAGGTGGCAAAACTGATAGGCCATTAAATAGCATGAATTACAAAGAAACATAATTTTTAAAATTATTTAAAATATTCTGAAGTATCTCAGTTTTACATTATTTTATATTCTTAATATTTGCTGATCTCTTTTAATAAAGAAGGGTTAAAGCACAAATGGGCATCTGGAAGACAATAGTTTAACTATAGTTCCTATTTACAGAAAATAATTCTATTTTTCATTTAAGGTAGTGATATAAAATTCCTTCTAAAATAAGCGTATTTAAATAATAACTGTGAGCCAATTTAGAGAAAAATATTAAGTGAATAATACCTAGTATAGGTCATATACATATAGAGATGAAGCAAAAATCACAAAGATGATGAGAGTGAGGACTGAGTTTTGGGAACCACTACTTTATTTTTTTCAAGTTTTTATTTAAATTCTAGTTAGATAACATATGGTGTAACATTCATTTCAAGTGTAGAAATTAGTGATTCATCACTTTCATACAACATCCAGTGCTCATTACAGCGAGTGCCCTCCTTAATCCCCATCCCCCATTTCACCCATCCCCCACCCACTTCCCCTCTGGTAGCCATCAGTTTGTTCTGTATAGTCAAGAGTCTCTTTTTTGGTTTGCCTCTCTATTTTAACCTCCCTGTTTGTTTGTTCTGCTTTTTAAATTTTTAAAAAATTAAAAAAAATTTTAAATTAATTATTATTTTTAAAAATTCCACATTTGAGTGAAGTCATATTTCACTTAGCATTACACTCTCTAGCTCCATCTATGCCATTGCAAATGGCAAGATTTCATTCTTTTTATGGCTGAGTCATATTCCATTATACGTATATATATATTTACCCCCCATTCAATCATCAGTCGCTGGACATTTGGGTTCTTTCCATAATTTGGCTATTGTTAATCATGCTGCTAGAAACATCAGGGCACATGTACACCTTTTGAATATATATTTTTGTATCCTTTGGGTAAATATCTACTATGCAATTGCTGGATCATCGGGTAATTCTATTTTTAACTTTTTGAGGAAGCGCCATGCTGTTTTCCAGAATGGCTGCACCAGTTTGCATTCCCACCAACAGTGTAAGAGGGGGACTACTACTTCAAAGCAGGGGATGGTTAGGAATTTTTGGCAAAGTGAAATATCCTCCAGAGTGTGTAGATCCCTAAAAGATTTCCAGCTGTCATGTGGTGTAGTAGGTGGCCCTGAAGGATGGGTAGGTAATAGCTGTACTTTTGCTTTGGTTCTCAGCGGACCAGCCTTAGTCTAGTGACTTCCTCTCCTTGGACTTCAGTTTCTCCATTCATAAAGTAAAGGTGTTGTAAGTCAAGCAGTGATGTCTAACGTCTCTTTCGGTTCAAATACCTATGATTTTGTGGTTCCCGTAAATGAATGGACCACAGCAGGAAACGGTCCCATTTCTCTCCTGGCCAAATTTATGATGCAAATTTATTGTTGTGTGTTTAAAAAGAGATTTTTTTTTTTTTTTTTTTTGAGAAGGGGGAGGGTCAGAGGGAGAGAGAGAACCTCAAGCAGGCTCCATATCCAGTGCAGAGCCCAGCACCGGGCTCCTTCTCACGACCCTGACATCATGACCTGGGCCAAATCAAGAGTCGGATGTTTAACTGCCTGAGTCACCCAGGCGCCCTGCATGTTTAAGATACCTAAAGTAAACCCAAATTCTAAGAGACCTTGGGTAAGAGTGAGGTTACTTGAAAACTTGAATTGGGAATGGCTCTGTGAAACGGTCAACTGTTTGAGCTTGGAAGCAGGGGATCCTCAAACCTCAAAAAAAAAAAAAAAAAAAAAAAAAAAAAGAAGTTTAGTGAGCACTTGAACTCTCCCTGGCTTTAAGGCTGCGGGCTTTAGGTATGGAGATCGGGCTGCCTACTCAGCTGTGCCAGGACAGGGTCAGAGACTTTGGGGGCAGGCCAACAGCACAGAAGAAGGAGGTTAGTTCACGACGCACTGAAGTTCATAGAGGGAGTCTACACAAGCCACTAAGGGAAGTGCGGCTCCAACCTAGAGGCCATCGTGAGCAAATGATGGTGAAAAGCTGAAGGGCAGGCTCTAGCGGACTCAGAAGATGTCACCACGTTCAAGTCGATCCTGGGACTGGCTCATGTCTGAGCTGCTTAATTTCATACCCGCAGGGATGGGATTGGGGGTGGCCGGCCCATTCCACAAAGAACTTGAGAAGACTTTCTTTGATGTGCTTAGGCGAAGGCCCAGCAAAGATTCTAAAGGCGAGGTGGGTGGGCGTGGAGTGTTGTGAACTGTGGCTGACAAGAGCTGACCTCTAGAGTCCAGTTTTTGGAGCGCCATGCTGGACAAACAAACTAGATCTGAGACTAGATGCTTCCCTCAGTGGACAGATGCAACTGCAGATGGAGGAACTGAAGACAATTTTGAACCCTTTATGGTTCTTGTTACCCCTATGCTAAGGGAGATGCTTTGCAAACTATAATATACGCAGAATAGACAGTAATATATTAGGATGTAGGATATTGTGATTTTTCACTTCATGGAAAATATGCATGAAGTTTTAAAGTAAAGATTCTAAAGTTCAAAGGTATTGGTGCTTTTGTTGGAGCCCCGGGCCCCTGAGCTGTGCATTTCAGACCCTGGGCTGTGGAAGTTCCTGGAGCAGCCCCCTTGGTGGGGAGACCGGGGTGGGGGGGGGCGGGCGGCGGGGGGGCGGGCTGGGTGGAGCCAGCCCTGAGCTCCCAGTGTAGGCGGAGCTCTTTTCTGTTCTGGAAGCAGCTGTTTTTGCTCATCCTATGGGGGTGAGTCAACTAAAATGATGGATGAAATGATGGAGAGATAGTACAAGGTTTTTATTTCCCATCTTGGTGACAAAACTGCAATTTTTACACTTAAAATGAACTGATAGGGCTCTGACTTCCACTTCACGTTTTATGTAGATGGTAAGTACTTTTGAAAGCTAGATCTCTCCTCTGACAGTTTCAAACCTGCTTTTCGGTAGAATTGGGATGCTTCATTTATATACACAATGCCACCTTTTTGCTGGAATCCACTATTAGCTGAGGGAAAGACCCAATTGCAGAGACAGAATGGGACAAGAAGAATTGGATTGGGAGCAAGAGGGGAAAGGAACAGGGAAGCTAAAATCAGAGGAAAGATGTGAATTTGGGGTTTTTGGAAACATTTGGTTTTCAGACTGAGGGATGAAAATTTTGTTCTTCCTAATCAAAGAGATACTGCAGTCTCTTTACAGAATAGCCTACAGCGACTGGAAAAATCCTATGTTATCTGGAGCTTTCTATTAAAGGCACATACATTGGTGCTTTTAACTAGTGGACCAGATGGTCATCTCATGTTCTCTAGACTTCCAGCTTCCTTTTTTGAAGCTGAGCAATGATTTAAAAAAAAAAAAATCCCATATAGTTAACGTACAGGGTTATATTAGTTTCAGGTGTACAATATAGTGATTCAACAATTCTATATAAAGTGGAGCAACTTTTCATCTATTTGCAATCTAGGAAAGTGTCTGTGGTTATTACTAGGTATAGTTGTACCTATGATGAACCATTTATACCATGTAGTCATCACAAGGTAACATTATAGTTTGTAATGACATGAGAATATGCTTATGATATACACGAAAAGAATGTCATTTGCATATACACATGTATTCTCAACTATGTAAAAATAAGTATATAACAAACACACTGGAATAAAATATATAGAATGTTAACCATGATTGTTTAGCGGTCATAAGGTTTTAGACGGCTCTTATTTTCTACCTTAAAAAAATTTCCACAATGAATGCATGTTAATCTTATAATCAGGAAAAAGGGAAGCTCTGGTCGGCAATCTGTCAATCCCTATCCAGTTGGGACTAGGTTGATTATTTGTATTTGGCTCACGCGTATGTGCCTTTCCCCATGAATCACCATGACGTCATTTGGTAACTGAGATTTTCACATACTGCTATAGTCATTATCATCAAAGGGCTCATGCTCATGGATCAGCATAGAATTAGAGCTGGGGTTATTTGGAAAGCCAGCTCTCTTACTTGTATGTGCTCACAGTCAATACAAACATATTTTCATGAGCCATAATTACAGCAACATTTATAACCGAGTGGAAACATTACAAGGTACGTGACCCAGGGCAATCGGGAACCTTATCTCTTTTGGACAATCTCAAATTTACATAATTTTATCTATTTTCAGTTCTATGTATCGCTAGTTAAGGCTGGACTTTTTAGTTGTTGCAAGACTTTTGACATGAGAACTGTTATAAAGCAAGATAATTTGGGTGTTTCTTAGGTTGCATCCCAACAGCACACTGCAGATTAATAACTACTATGCAGGAAAAAGACTTTTGAATTCCAATAAATCTAAAGAATGTCAAATTAAAGTTAGCCAGCTGTCTTTATGGCAGGACTTGTGGGAGTCTTGCTATGCCATTATGTGTGCCTCTTCCAAAGGGGATTGAACATTCAGTATTTCCCACACATATTTTACCAGAAAATTCTATTTTCGCTGAGCACGTCGAGGGTCTTGTTCTCTGGGTAGTCAGGAAATGCATCTCTAAGTAAGGGGTCCCCTTTGGTTTCTTTGCATGGACCAAGGGAGGAAAGATCCAAAGAGTTTCAGTCTGAATCATGGAGCCTGGCTAAGGAAAACCACATGCTGTTTGTAGTTTATTATCTCTCGGTTGGTGTTTAATAAAGAAGATATGCTCAAAGCTACTAAAACACAACTCTGGTCTGATCAGTAAAGGAAACTCACCTCCCATGGTGTCCTCTCCAAATACATTTAACTGGTCATCACCCTGTACATAAAAAAAAAAAAAATCAAAATATTAGATGACAGTAGTAATAGGTATTATGCTAAATTTCTTGCCAACATGCGTTACCATACCTAACCTTCCAAACAACTCTATGAAGGATGCACTATTACTATCTGCCTTTTATAGATGAAGAAATTGAGAGTTTGAGAAGCAAGTTGCCCACGATCACATAGCAATGAGGGACAAAGCCCAGACCGAACCCCGAGTTCATGCTGTTCTTCTTGTACTGCTCAGTATGGTGTCACACCTCATTTTCCTGGTGCATGACTTATCTGTGATCGGAAAAGCTGATTTGAAGAAAAGAAAACTCTTCAGTACCCAAAGCTCACTGGTGGGTGTAGTCATGGTGGTTTTATAAACAATTCTGTGGTATAACATTGGACGTGGCACGCTTGCTGTGGAGTGCCAGATAGGAAGTGTTTTCCAGCATTGTAAGTCATACAGTTAACCGCTGGCCAATCCCTGAAAACTGAAGCATGAAATAAGGGAAATTGGAAGGACCAGCTTTGATCGATGCCTGCTTTTAAATTATTTTATTTTTTAACCAAGCAGCAGCTGCATTTTCCTTACAGAAGAACCTGTGGTAGTTGGGGAAAAAATGTAGGATGAAAACTTATAAAATAAAAAGACATTTGATAAGAATTCTGATTTTTACTTATGTTTCCATCCATCCCATTTTCCCACTCCCTAATTCCATATAGGTAACCACTCATAGAAGTTTTTTATTTCCATCTGTTTCCAGATAAACAAAAAACAACTTCCAGACCTATGGATGCATTTGAATATAATTATAACATCTTGGAGCTCCTGGGTGGCTCAGTGGGTTGAGCCTCTGCTTTCAGCTCAGGTCATGATCTCAGGGTCCTGGGATCAAGCCCCGAGTCCGGTTCTCTGCTCAGCGGGGAGCCTGCTTCCCCCCACCACCCCCCGGCCTGCCTCTCTGCCTACTTATGATCTCTCTCTCAGACATAACTAAACAAGATCTAAAAAAAAAAAATTATATCATCTTGTGACCCCCATTTCATACACAGAACGGAGTGAACTTCTATTACGCATTGCATATATGTTCATAATATACATACTGATCTAGAATGATACGGTTCTTCCCCTTGCTTTTTCACTTATCGATGTACCGGGAGAACTTTCCATGCCCATCCAGAATATTCTCGGTCATACAGTGTTCTATGGTATGGAAGCTACCAGTTGTTGTTTTTAACTTGTCCTTTATTGATGGACCACCGAGTAGTTTCCAATCTTGGATTATTTTGGAAAAAGTAGCACAGTGAGTAAGCTCATGTAAAGGTCATTTCATACACATATGCCTGCTGGATAAACTCCCAGAGAAGGGGCTGTGTGGTCAAAGAGCAAATGTATTTATAACTGATAGATTTTGCCCAACTGCTCTTCATAGAGGTGGTGCCATTTTGCGGGGACAGCCTGCGGCTCACACTTCACTCCAGCCTCTTGCTTCTAATTCGCTTTGATGTGGGAGTCAGTTAAATGAGCTTGCCTGGTTGCATTAATGCTCCCTTGAGGTAACCGCTCTGAGAGTACTTGTTTGCAAAGGGAGCCATGCCAGCCCTTTTTAGAACATACGCCTTCAGGGCAACTTTACTGCTTGTCTTCTTAGATTTGCCTGTGTATCCAGAGCGATTCCAGGTAAGAGAAGAGTTTTTAATGGAGTGGTCATTCAGGGACACATTTACATTAATTAGCTTCCTTCCATGAATAGGGAAAATGTCAATTATTCCTCAGTGAGCCTACCTCCACTTCTGTTGTTGAAATAATTGCATTTCGGAGCTGGGAGTTATAGAGATCATCTGACCCAACCCTGCCATCCCCTCTCCCATTGTACAGATGAGGAAATTGATGGTTACAGAGGTCATGTAAGGGGCCCATGGCCATAGCAGCATGTCTTTTTTTTTTTTTTTTTTAATAAAGATTTCATTTATTTGACGGGAACACAGGCAGGGGGAGTGGGAGAGGGAGAAGCAAGCTTCCTGATGAGCAGGGAGCCCAATGCAGGGCTCAATCCCAGGATCCTGGTTCCATGACCTGAGCCTAAGACGGACGCTTAACAACTGAGCCACCCAGGCAACCCTGCAGCATGTCTTTAGTGAAGCTAGGGTTAGGATGAGAACCACATCAACCTACCACACAGCATGGCTCCTAAAGATTTAGTCCCATCAGCTTAGCTACTGCCGTGAATCTCTTAGTGTCCTGTTCCGAACTGGCTAGTGCACCCATCCCTCAGGTGTTGCTAAGGGCTCACAGAAGTCCGGCCCCGCCCTCAGCCGGGGATGACTCCGGTATAAGGTTCCTGGAGATCAGGCTGAAGCTAATCCCATCTTTGCTTAGCTCCTACCCCTGCCCTCTCCTGCGTCTCTCTCCCTCTCTGAAGAGCACTCCCTAATAACTTCCTTTGAAAGAATCCTCATTTCAGGTTTTGCTTCTAGGGAAGCCCACCTGAGACAGGGACCTGTTCAAAGCAGTTTGATGTTTGCCTAAGATGCGCCTACGTAGAAAGTGGCTCAGTAGCCTCTGTGGCAAAGAATTGTTAGATCAAGCTCTGCTTGCTGCCTGTCAAACAGCTATCAAACATATCCAGGTCATGTGAGGGAGTCCTCCCCCTTGATTTTTAATATCATTGTTGAATGGTCAGACTTTCACTCATCTTACAGGCTAACCTGCCTCAGATCTTTCTTCCACCTAGCTGTCATGTTTTAGGAGACTGATCAAGGTTCATCTGACTCAAAAAACCGTGCACTGTGTTATAAAGGGGCCTGTCTCACCTCTGTTTGGCTTCCTGTGTCTGACCTGTTTTTAATCCATTGCTCTTTTTCATAGCCTTCTAATCTGTTTGCCCAAACGCTTCAAATGAGCCCCAGCTTTATTTCCATGCACACGGCATTCACGGTCATGAAAGCCCAGGTAAATGGGCTGTTTGATTGGAGGGTGTTATTTTCACGTGATGCTCTATAAACCTCATGATTCCTAAGTGAATCTTTTGTAAATAAACTCAGTCTGGCATCTTAAACAGATGCATGCGTGTGTGCGCGTGCACACACACACACACACACACAAAACAACTAATGAAAGGCCAGCTCTTCTGGTTCTCTTTTGGTGAAGAGGAAGCCATATAGAGTCTGAAGGCCCTATGTGTCATCTCTTTCTTTCCTAGTCTAAGTGTGTTCTGCGTGAAAGGCATTCATTCAGAACGTCAATTCTGTGAGCAAAATGCTCTACAAGCTTATGTGAGAGATACCTGATAAGGCGTTTCTGAGCAGGGAGCTGGGAGCTGCCTCTTCAGTGAGGCACCCCTTGAGAAAGCACAGCCCATGAACTCCCAGGCTCCAGCCTGAGGGCCCGTGGGTGCGTCCTCGGGTCACACACAGCCTTTCATCACGTTGTCCTCCATCTAGTCAGCCTTCTGTTGCCTGTAAGTCTGAATGGTGAGGTTGGGCTTTGTGGGTGCCAGGAGACAGAGGTGCTCTCCACTGTATTAAACTAGGTTTAGGGGGCAAAACGCAGAATACCAAGTTGGAACCAACTGACAGAAATAGTACTAATATTGGCTCAGATTTCATGTAAGTGTCCATTATGACTCACACATATGGAGCCAAGACACAGCCTTACAATTACGTGATAAATGCTGGCAAAGACGGGAAATGCTGCTGCCAAACCACCAACACACAAAACCAAGTTCGGGTCTCCACCCGTCCTTATGCTCTGTTTATGAGAGCACGCTGGTAGCTGAGGAGGAGAAATCAAGAATCTGTCGAAGTGTCATGGCTAGAACCTCAGGACAGGATTCATGGGTTCATGGGAAACTGGGTTTGGGCTATGGATTTTTTTGGGTCTAGATGTCTCATTCTCCAGTCAAACAAGAGCCACGAGGAAAGCGAAAGCGGGTTGCATTCAACCTTATTTGCCTGTGCAGATGTGTAGGCAGGGACCTTTGCAAGGCTAGGTTCTGGTATGGTCGGCAGGAAGAGCAGCTAGCTGGTGTGTGCATGTGTTTCCCCATCCGGTCAGTGCACCTGTCATCACCACCTTGCGGTATGGACGTCCGTCACTCCCAATTCTTTGAATTATTGAAATTTGGGAGGAGAGATCAAAATAGGGCAACATTGCCTCCCAGATGGGTTCCTCAATCCTAAGAGAGGACATCCTGTAGCTTGCACTGACCGCAGCACGGTGTGTGCTCCTGGACGCTGGACCAGTTTCGTGTGGCGGTGTCACAAGCAGATCAGGTTACAGCTCGAAGTGGACATTGAGCTAGTGCCTTCCAGATCTGGAAGTGTTTCTGCAGATAGAAGCTCACTGGATCCTCGCTGCGACCCTGTGCCTGAGGAATGGCGTAACTGCAGTTCTGTGGGCCGTGGGATGGGTGTGCCTAGCGCCCCCTTGCCGCCCTCGGGGCCCTGCCACCAGCCGGTGTTCCCTTCTCAGCATCCTCTCACTGGTCTCAGAGGTGAGGTCAGGTATTCTTACCGTCTGTCCTTAGGTAGATAGCGTTGATGTGTAAAAATCCTTGGTGGGGGGTGGCGCCTGGGTGCCTCAGTAAGTTAAGCATCGGACTTCAGTTTGGGTCATGGTCTTTGGGTCCGGGGTCTGAGCCCTGCATTGGGATCCCTGTGCAGCGGGAGTCTGCTTTTCCCTTTGCCTCCCTTGCCTCCCCCCCGCCCCCCCTCCCCGCTTCATTCATGGGTGAGCTCTCTCTTTCTCTCTCTCTCTCTCAAATAAATAAAATCTTTAAAGAAAATCCTTTTGGGGACCATGAAATGAAAGCTCCCCTGGGAAGGAGGGAGAAGTAGTAGGTCATTTTGGGGACGTCCTCCTAGTTCTTGTTTGTATTAAACACTGTGTGTGTGTGTGTGTGTGTGTGTGTGTGTGTTTCATGGTATAAAAATGTGTATAGCTTCAAATGGGATTGTGAGAAAGAGGCTTTATTTAACAACAGAATGTCACAGCTAAGATGA